GTTTTATTTGTGACTAATCCAAATGATCAAGTCAAAATTTGACTTTTCTGAAGCTGGTGGATTTTAGTCACCACTATTCTCATTTTTTATATACGTCGTTCAGCAATGTCAATCAGTCTACAGTCCCGTGAAATCCATTTAACGACTGTGTCAGTCAGCCTGTCAGCTGCAGTCTTACTTACTGCGCTGCACTCTGTGGGGCTGGTCTGATGTATGGATGTCTCACCCGAAGTGTCTCACCCCTCTACGGCCCAAACACATGCTGTGCGATTAGATGGTATTTAAGCTCCAGGTGCTGGGGGTTAAACAAAACCTTTCTCCCACAGTGCGTGCGAATAACACTGACTGTGTGTTAAAGCAACAATAAGTGGACGGAGGGCAGAAAGACTGGATAAACAGCAGGCGTCATATTGCTCACGTGTTAAATTTTTTAATCTGAATAACTCACAAATTAATTAATGTCATCGACACATTCATTTTCCGCTGATTTAAACCTTTAAAAAAATAGAATTTGCCTACGTGGTTTAGTCAACCACCTCCACACCTCTGCCTGCAACAGGAGTGCAATTTACCACATCTGCAGGGTTTAATAATCCGAAGAACACGGCTGTATCGACTGCTGGAGCTAAATTTAGTTCTTGGAATTAAGGGTTTCCGTGATATGTGTAAAAGAACTTTCATTCCCTCTCTAGAAACCGGCCATATGCTGCTCTCCCTGGAGCCAGTCACGGCTAACATGGCAACAACATGGATGAGTATACAGTATGTTGAACAGACCACGGGTCTATCAAAAGGGTCAGGGGCAGACAGACAACCACGAAACTAAACTCACTCTGAGGGTCTACATGGAACAAGACTGGATTGTTCATTTAATAATAACAAACCAAATAATGCAATGTTTGGGTTTCACCAAATTTTGGGCCAAAGCGCCACTCGGTTAATATCTAATCAAAAATTAAGTGTTGCAATATCAATATCGGATATTGGCAAAAAGTTTATATCGGACATCCCTAATATCTTCCTACTCTGTCTGCTGATGAAAATTCTACAGGTGGCACAAACCTGACCAGGAAACCCGAAAGGTCTAATCTCACTTCTCATTTGTCGGTTTTATCCTTGCCCTTCACCCCTTCATCCTTAAAACTGAATTATAAGAAATAATATTAGAAATCCAATCCTACCAAGTGGAAAACTCCGTCTAATGTAATGTCTGTTTCTTGTTTTGTTTTTTTAAAACAGACTTCAAAGATTTTTTTTTATATGTATGAACCAATTCCAATGCCCTCCATTTACAGAGTGACCATCAAGAATCTTGAATCTGAAAGGACAGCCTAATTATATGACATTATCGTGTAAACACTAGAGTTCTTTATTCGCAGGACAAAAATGTGTCTGAGGTCAACACAGCGGAACCATAAACTACAAGTATGTGCACATTATACTCGTGATTAGAGGGAGGAAAACAAAAATAGAGCTTTGAGTACAATGAGTTCACATGTTACAAAAACACTGCTCAGCTGCGCAGAGCACCAGCTACAGAGAGCTGTTCCCTGGTGGTGCATCTTAAGACATGGGAACATCTCGTAGCATGGCAGTTGTGAAGATGAGTCCAACACAGTACAGAAGGCTGTTCAACACACTGTAAGTAGAGATTGTAAACGCATGTAAATAAAACATTTTGAGACAGTACTCTCCACAAACTGGCTATTAGCAAACTGGCTACAGCAGCGAATACATAACACTGGTTCTCATCAGACGGACACGGGGTCTAAATGTTCTCAGGGTAATGATGTTATTGTTGGCAGTGCTCGGTAAGAGCTTAAATGAATGACTTTCATTGGTTAAAGGCGGGATGTGGGTAAGAGTGTTGGTTGATGCAGCAGTACAGATCATCCCAACTGTACTTGATGACCTGATAGTGACATGATTACTCATGATCGAGCTGCTTTTAGAACAACACTTGTCAGAGGCTGAAAGATGCAGAACACACAGAAGCCCTCAGAGGACACGCCTCCTTCAGAGGAAGATGGCCGGTGATCTGCCCTTTCTGCTGTGATCTCCATCATGAATCAGTAAATATGACTGGAACTCAGGAGAGAAGGCTCAGCTGGACTCTGTCAAAGGTCAATCAGACACTGTCAAAGGTCAACAATCCCTCCCCTTTCTAGTTGTCCCTCTCTTGCTTCCTATAGTGGTGATTTTTTTCACCCTTAGTTTCTGGGTGTTCTTTTCAAGACACAACATGTTTGGTTTGCTTTCCCAGGGAGGACATTAAGCAGAAGACAAGTCCTACAAAGACAGACTTATCCAACACCAGACTCTACTGACTATTATCTTCAATTTATCCGGTGGCTTAATCCCCGTAAGGCACATGTCAAACACAGACCAAATCCAAGCTGATGCACAAAGGCTGTAAACTGTTGTCTCTTCGTGTGCTGCCAGTGCATTATACAGAACATGCACCACAGATACAACAAATTCCAGATGGCACTATAGTAACTAGTGCGTCACAGTACTTTGTTAAAAAAAAAAATCAATTGAAATTGATTTTAAATTATTTGCAGGGACTTTTACTTGACTGGCCTCTATTTAAAAATGAAAATTAGTTCCACCAACATGAGCGGATCATCCAACCTAACAAACTTCTTTATCCTTTCTTATACTGATTCTCTTCAAACTAAAGGGTTTGTGGGACACAGATATGTGATGACAACAGATGTATATACTGTATATACACACACAATCAGCAGAGGGAAAAGAATGTGTGAACAGTAAATTGGAGAAGTAGTTCAGTGAATGTTAGGGTTGAGATGTGACAAAGCACTAGTGAAACTGAAGGTTCTATAAAGAATATTTTTCAGAGACTCTAGGAAAGACAGAAAGACAAAATGCTGCGCTGGAGTGGGTATAGCGCTCGAGATTTCTGAGAAATCTATTGCCGCCGACCTGGATCTGTAACATTAGACATTAGCATATCAGAGGAGCAGCTAAGGTTGAGCAGTTCAGAGATAAAGTCGTGGCAGTAAAGGGTAAGACTGCACATGTGCAGAAAAGAAGCAGCAGATTTAGTGAACAAAGGAGGAAGGAAGAAACATGGATGAGACTAACTGATGTGTTGACATTAAACAGTCAGTGTAAGAGAAGAGAAGGAAAGTAAGATGGAGGTGAATGATCGATGCCACCCCTGAAGAGAACAGGCCCCAAAATAAAATGTTTAGTTCCTCCACTGGGCAGCTGAAACTGTTTTTTTTCCTGCAAAAAAACTTAAGATTAAATGTCACCACTCATGTCCAGCTAGTTTCCTCGAGCCATTAAATGCCATCATTTCATACAGATCCATCCTGTTCTCCACACATTTCCAAAGGCTCTAACTACTCAGCTGCGTCAGCTAACTAAAAGCGATGGACTGGTGGTTTTACACCGTCACTGTTGATCTGCTGTATTTGAACATAGATCAGAATGTCTGCAGTCATTTTAATGTCTCTGTTCACCAAGCTCAGGCAGGACAGAATCCGTTGTTTATTGTCACCACTGCTCAAGCCCCGTAACTGGCATTTGCCCAACAGCACTCAGGCAAAGTGGGGGGTCCACCGGCAACACCAGCAGCTCGCTGCACAGTCTCTTTCAGTCGTCTTTTCACAGGACGATTCACCCTCTAGACCAAACTGGACTGGACTGCCAAACCTGCTTCTCCCTGCTTTAATTTATTTCTTCCTCACTTAGTTAATGGCTGTGTGCAAGCAAAGCTGTCGCTGCTCTCCGATTTCATCAATTAGATTTAGGACATTGAGGAAATTGATAGGTAATTGGGTTGTCAGGCTGAAAAGACATCACTATCGACACTGACAAAGATCCAAGACATTAATTAAACCTAATACCAAAAAACAACATAGACAAATCCTAAAAATTCCTAAAGTTCAAAGATTTAAAATTCCCTGTGACCCAACTGAGTTTTTGGAAAATGTTAGCAGCACCATACCTCTAGATCAAGGGTAAACGTACAGGCTTTATCCACTGAAAATATCCCAGTTTTAACTGTCATTAGTGAAGGCAACATAGCAATATTTGAATTATTAAAAAACAAAAAATATTAAAAAATACATCACAAATATTTAAAATCACAAAAGCAATACTGTCTCATTTTGCATCTTCATGACTAGCATATCAACTGTAGATGCGTGACTACCACCTATAGGGTTGGAGGGTGTGTGTCTGATTTACCAGTGTGCTAAATATTTAGAAACTGGGAAAGGTGTAACAAAATGCGTTTTTTTTATAAATTAATTGAAATGAAGGCATTAAAGTCCCTTGTCTTATTTTATACATGATCAATCTATCGCCTTTATTTAACTAGGTAAAACGTCTCACTGAGATTAAAATGTCTTTCACAAGAGAGACCTGGCCAAGACGGCAGCAGCAGCACGACACTTCAGAGTTTGAACATTAAAAAGAAGCATACCTGATCAAATGTAAGTAGGGATTATATTTCTGATCAAGTCCATTAGTAGCAATTATTTCCCGTATTTCTGTCAAATAAAGATCTATCTATCTATCTATTCATTCGAATACCACTGTACAGCAGCAGTCTGTGTGGGATGGACGTACACACACACACACACACAGAAACACACACACACGAAGGCGACTAGCATAATGGAAGCACTTGAATGCACCACACATTTGAGAGGAGAGCAGATGAACAGAATCCGCTGTGTAATTCCACATGCAGAGAATGAAGGAGGAGGATGAGACACGGCCAGTGCGGCTGGCAGAGCTCAGGCTCAGCCTTCAGACATGTATTGTCTATCGTCAGCCGCTGTGTTGGCTACTAAAGAAAATGCTGTGGTAAAAAAAAAATAAACGGTCGCTTTGCTTCGTGACTCCGCAGCCTCCTCTGCGGACGGGTTCGCTTAAACCAATGCATATTTGTGCTCACAGACATTAGCAGTTGATAAAAATGCGTCCAAATGTGCAGTCCAAAAGAAAAGACCTCCACTAACCTTGGTTGGGTCTCCTCCTGTTATCCACTTGTTACAACGGAAATTTAGCACCATGGATCCCAGTTAAGTTTCCTGGCAGACGGACAAAAACGAGGCGAGCCGATGTCAGCCGAGCCGGGAGGGCAGGCTGTGTGGAGTGTATTTGCCAGATGGACGACTAAATGCGAGGTGGAGAGAAGACTGTCTGCCGCCTGGGCTCTTCGCGCTCAGCCTTTTGCTCTGGCTGCCGTCGAAAGCAATGAGGAAAGCTTGTGTGTCTACGAACAGCTGTTTTTCCAAAATGGAGTTGGCTGTGTCTGAGCCAATCAGAGTGAGGCAGTGGAGGATCCCACATCTCTGTGGGCTGAGCCAAGCAAATCCTCACTACACTCAGCAACACTCCGATTATAAACTAATAAAAGAAAGAAAAAATGGTGTCCTTTTTTTTTAACCTTAGCTACTACCTTCCACTCCGAAAGACCCGTTTTCATCTTTTAACGACCAAATAAAATTCAACAGGATTTGCAGGATTTTCATAATACTTACCAGTACTTTATTGCGTAGTATGGCAGAAGAGAACAGGAGCAATTATTATTTATTATTTTGACCACTTTGACATAATAATAGTAATATTAGCATAATGAGATATTTAGCTAATGTTGTGTTCTACTTCATATGTAATACACAAAGACTTCAAGCCTTTGTCAATGACAGCCATCTTGTTGAGTTTGGACAAGCTAACATACAAAAATCACAACCTTAGGCCACGTTCTTATTGCTGCATTTGAAGCTCAAAAAATAAATGTTATTGATACCACCAGTTTGGCTTATTTTGGCTTTAAGTGACCAAAGTCACCTGTTAAATGTTTATAGCCTGTTTTTGCTGTTTACAGTTGATGTTTACAGCTAAAGTTCACTAACATTGAGCCCAGGGCTAACGGCAGTCACAGTTTTCTTTTCATATAATGTCTTTAAAAGCGCAGTGTTTGTACACAGCTGCACAAAACTAGGTGGCTTGGATTTAATTACGTCCCCAACAATGCAGTCAGTGGTAGCAACATTTTGCCTCCTAGTGCAGTGAGAGATACACAGTGTTTACTAACAAAGACAGTGAGATCAGGATACCTCCAACGCACTGCCTTAGTGGTAATTGGTCAGAGAAAGCAGATTTTAACTGAGATAATGCTCAACCAGGTGAAACATAGACACACATACAGTAGAAGCAGCCATATTTGATCACCCTTAAAAACAAAACAAAAATATTCAGAAAAAAGGTATTGAATATCCATGATCGTTTGACAAGAGAACAATAATAGACATAACCTGCAAACAGACTCCCAATAACAAGAAGAAAACATTTTTAGGTTTGTATCTAAAAAGAAATCATGGTAATAATTAGACTAATGTTAAATACACTAATCAACATCAAATATTCCATCACATTGATTTCTTTGGTGTGTGGTGTGACTGATACTCCTGTAAACAATACATGAAAATGTGAGACTGACACGCATTGAATCCTGAGACAGGACTTTAAATAATTGAATTAGAAGTGAACATGTTCACATTCATCAATAATATAAGTATTTTATTATTACGCTAGAGGATTATATGTAGATAATTAATTTAATTTATCAAGGGTTGCACTGAGAAGAGAAAAACATTACACATGAAGCAGGAAATGGAGATGAAACTGAAGGGAAGAAAAGACACTTGCTGCAGATACATGACTGAACTAACGGATTCTTGTCTTATGTTTTAACAAATTATCCCAAGTAGAAAAGGCTATTTACCACCACAGAGGAATTGAATTCTGAGAAACGCTTAAATAATGAATCAATCAAGTAATTGTCTGTTGCCTAATCAATAATTTAAGTGTAGTAAGCTAATTGCAATCCAGATTCTATTTCCAAATCAAAGATTAAAAATTAATGTATTCTTTGTATTATTTTGTGCATACATTTGCAGTATGTATACTGTATGCAAAATGCTATTGTATTTTAATTGGGTTTATTGTCAAGAAGCATGGGGTGTGGCTACCTAGAAGATGAGTCAGGTATATTTTTTAAGCATCGCATCTTATAGTATTTTGTACCAAGATAATTCATTTAATTTTTTAAAAATGCTGTTTTCTGTGTGTGATAATTGATGATTTTGTTGTTTTTGAAGTGCGTCGTTTGGGTTCTTAAACAAAAAGTGATTCATTCCAGTCCCAATTTAGGACAAGTTAAGGTTGTGCAAGAAAAAAAAGTGAACTCCTGTGAACTCCATCAGCACAGCACTGTCATGGAAACAGAAATCCATGACAGTGTGGGCTGCACAACCTTCAAATAGAGACAAACTCTATTGAGAGAAAGAGAAGAAATTAACGAGTCGTGTGTCTGTGCTGTACTGTATCAAACTACACGCCAATCCTATTTTAGTCTCCACTGTAAAACACAGCACCTCAGTGTCTGAAGTACATACAGTAATACAATCATTCTGAAAACAACATGTTTTCATCCATCAAATCTGACATAATTAGAACGTGTTACAGCTGAAGGACCATGGGTTCCTCATCTGTCATGTTCTCTTCTGATCTAATTCAAATGTGGATTCATTTAACCTGGGTTTTGACTGTACATAAACCATCTGCCGAGACACAGCTCTGTGGCATTTTATTATTTACGGTACTAACAACAAATATTCACAATACAGCCTAATTTCACAAACATGCATAAAATAAAATTATAAAAGACCGAACAAATACGCCTCAAGGTATCTTTGGGTGACCACTTGAAAATGAATCCAACATTATTGCACATTTCTTTACAAAACCTGTTGTAAAATTTGGCAAATCCACACATTTAAAGCATCTTAAACTGTACGTTCTATTTCCTATTTCATGACTGTGACGAGTACTGCGATCAGCTTGTTTCTAGACTCTGTGATGACACTCAGACCAACAGGTTGAAAAAAAAAAAGTCATGGCTAAGGCAGATTTAACTGAAAGTAGTCCTATAGAATGGAGGTAAATATCCCAGAAGAATGGAGGTAGAGAGAAATAAAGTTACAGCCAAACGGAGGCCCAGTGGTTTTAACAACTCCAGTTCCCATATGTGAAATGACCCTTTTATGAACCAAACCTGATGAGAATCAACAAGGTTATTGCTTTGGTAACAAAATGACATGTTGTTATCCCCTTATCGACAGAGTAAAAGGCAGAACGACCGCTTGTGTCTAATTAAATGTTTTTAACAGAGTAAAAGGACCGCTTGTGTCTAATTAAATGTTTTTCAATTCTCACTCAGTGGAAAATGTCAGCTTGAAGGGTCACATTTTTCCATGTCTGTCCCAAAACAGTGTTCATGCCAATGTGTACATTCAAGTGTTTTGGTTTACATTATTAGAAAACCATTCTGTTCCCACTGTGCATCACTAACATTCCTTCTAACGTCCCTCTGTGTGTTTTGGACACTGCTTGTTGACTAAGCTGCACATGACACACACTGTAATAATGAGAGTTATTTGGACTGAGAAACATGTGAGGGTAAGTCAAAGTGATCGAAGACATGCTGGAAAAATACTCTTCATTGATGAGAATAACCTGGTTATTTCTCTACACACCCTTCGTTTATATTTTAATGGATAAATTCCTTCTTTGCCTCATATGAGGCCAAAGAAAGAAAGAAAAATGGAGCTCAAAACTGTTAAAAAAGCTTTGATGATTTTAACAACTTTCTATTTAGAGTTGGTTAGAAATAGATAAACAAATGTGTCACCTTTTGAAAGCCTAACATCTGCCTTAGAACATTTTGACTAAGCCTGGTACAGTATACTGCTGTGACCTTTTATTCCTAGCTTTAGTTAAACACACTGAAATCTCCAACCAACACCTTTTAAACTGGAGGCACAGTTAATGACCAGGAGGAATATTTACAGAAAACAGGGCATTTGTCAAAAGGGGGCGTTGAACTGTTTCAAAAAGAACAAAACCGTCTTTACTGTAAATACCAGCGATGATCTCATCACATCCACCAACTGTGTCTGTGTGGAGCTGCCCTGGGATCCTGACTGAACACCGAGCTACACCTTAACGACAGGAGACACTGCCCCTTCACTACTGCTGCTTTGTTAGTAAAATAAATCCTATAGTGTATACAGAATAACGTTGGCAACGTGCCATGTAAAATAGTCCACACATATGTTTCCACATGACACGGAGAACATTCTCTCGGCGTCGGTGTTCTTCAGTAGCAGTAGTAGAGCTGTGATCGCAGCCCCCTGAAGGTGTCATCTTCCTGCCCGCTGTTCTGCTCTCCTTCATACAGCATGGAGTCTGGGAGCACGACGCCCTCTAGCGGATCCGGTTGGCAAAACTCCACGATGAATTCCTCCTCACAGTCCAGCAGCAGCCTGGACCAGGCACGCACGTCCAGCTGGGCAGCGGTGCCGCCGTACTCTACAGGAAGGACCAGCGGCGGGATGTTCCTGTGCAGGGAGCGAATGTCCGAGCCGTGGAGAATGTACTGTTCAAGGAGACAGTGGCTTCATTATCTGAAGTTGTGCAAGTTTATGAATAATATATGAATAATGTCACTCATACAATCAACTGATGAATAATAAATTAGCCAACCTCCGACTAACCGACTCCCCTAAACTCTGTAGCTACTTTACATGTTGTTAGAATTTCACTTATAGGTTGAAACGCGATACTCATCGTTCAGTACTGCACACGCTTATGGTAAATGTAAAATGACTTTTCTGCGTGTAATGTCATATAATGGAAGCTTTTCTCAACAATTTCACAATTTTTGTGTCTGATTTAGACCTATAACAGTGGAGTACCAACCAGGGCAAAAGTGTCCAAAACCACCCTCACTTTTCAGGTTTCCTCTTTTTTCTCGTTAGAATAAATAAAACCCAACTTGATCTTTAGTCAACTGTGAAGCACTTCAGTTAAATTGTCTTTTGTGCCAAAGAACTGATTCAGAGAGCAATCAAGGACAGCAGTTTTACCCTCTCTGCCATCTTCTCCTTCAGGAAGGGTTTAATTATGGCGAAGATGCCCTTGAAAATCCGGGGCTCGTTTATTATGTTGACAGCCTTGATTCTGATGGGGAAACCGTCCTGTGGAAGAGAAGAGAGAGCGTGTTCAGAGCAGCAGCATCTGGTCTTTGTCCAAGGGTTCAGTGGTGACTAGTGTGCGAACCGTCGTGTTTATTATTATTACACAGCAGTCATTCAGAAAGATCGGTGAGAATAAAATGAATGTCAAATACATTAATATCAAAACCAATGTCATCATGCTTTATTAGTGTAATAAATCATACTCTTTAAAAAACAAGTTGTTACCTGGAGGATGCTGACAACTTTTTTGGCAAGGAACGGGCCAGGGTTGGATGCCTGTGACATCCCGACACCGGTGTAGTCAGCTAAGATGACGATTCCATTCACCTGCGTTTCTTCCGGTTGGATGAGCTTTTCCAGCGTTAGATAAATGGCTCTCACATTGTCAACAAATGGATAATCGTTTGGTTTCCATTTTCCTATAAAGGAAGTCCAAGAATACTAATCGTAGGTCATAAATTCAATCATTTGCAGCAGTTAGATGAAGAGATTCTACACAGATTCGAAGTTTACTTAATGTCAAGTTTTTGAAATACTACAAACCTGGCCGGAGACAGAGGATGTATCGCCCGTTGGGATCTGGACGCGGCAGGACTGTGAGGAAGCCCAGGTCCAGGACATGTTTCACTGTGGACGGCTTCAGGTCCTGGAACACCTCGGGCCAGGCTTTACGGCCTGCGTGGTAGTTGAGCAGCAGCTGCAGGGCACGGTCATAGTCAAACTTCCTGGCCCGCAGGAAGCGCAGGAGGAAGGCGTCGTCCAACCTGGTCCTGAGGTTAGGCTGCTCCTGCACAACGAGGAAGAAAAATGTGGTTGTTGGATAAAGTACCAGTAAACAGTGGAAACTAAGAAAAGTTCATGGAGGCACTGTTCATTTCTGTTTCTGTTTCTTCTTTTTTGCATTAAAATATGTATATTACGCATCAGATGGTTCTTAAACAGATATGCCATAGAATTAATATTGTGACCTAACTGCACTTTTACATCACATTTACACTATTTGAATAAAATGGTGTAATGGATAAAATGTTTTTGTTAATTAATTTTGTGCATTGATGTTGACAAAACTGATACATTAACTAATTATTTAGCCTGATTTTCCGTCTGTCACATAAGAATTGTTGAGATAAAGGTGGAAGTCAGATAATATTTTATACTGTATGTCAACTGTCCTGACGGGGCAAAAAATGGCTGTAGATAAAAACTTTAAAAAAAAATTAAATGAACTATGCATTTTATACTTTCGAAAATACTGAGTTTATACCAAAAACAGTTGATTTTTACTGTAAAAATAACATGTTCTCACCTATCACATTCCAAATTCCAAATCAACACACCCTCTATTGTATCTTAGGTTTAGTTAAATCACACCAGCCTATTAAGACGAACAGGTTTAACTAGATAAGGAGAATCAAAACAGCCACTGTGCATGACCCTTAATTAATAATTATGAAACGAAACCTATCGTCTAAATGGGTTTTATGCTTCAAATAATACATATATACTGTCGTAGTACAAACCTTCAGAATCATATCTCTAAGAGCCTGGACATCCCGTAGACGCCACTCTGGTTTCTCCTGGAGCTCTTCCCTGGCCTTGGCCACCAGGTCAGGGGTCAGGCTGCAGGAGTAAATAGGTGGTGGAGGTTGAGGGAACCAGCTGTGTCCCAAAGTAGCTGGAGGGGAGCTGAGATCGATGGACTCATGCTGATAGGCCATGGACTAACTGGGATAAGCTGCTTTAGGACAAAGCAAAAAAAGAGAAATGTGTAACTATCTCAGACATACATTTTATTAGAAAAAAATAGGCTCAATGGATAAAATAATAATAATAATTTCGATTTAATGAACTACTTAAATGATTTACCACATTTTGTATGGAACATGTCACATCAATAACTGTATCGCTTCAGTCCTGTGTGAACACTGCCTTTAGTTTTAAATGTCTGTTCGTACCCATCTGTAAGTAAAACGATAAAAAGGAGCAAGCAATTCTCCTGTAAAAACATTTGTGGTTAACTCCGTACAGTCTAGAGTTTAACATCTCAGTGTTTACCCTGCAGTCTTCTGATTCAACCTGACCCTCAACACAACCACTGCGCCAGATATCAACTGAGACAAACGACCAAATACCAACCTGAAAACCCGTTTCACATTAGTCTTCTAGGAAGATGCAACCTCCAGGTTTTGTGTCCATTGACAAGCACTAAAACAAGACCTTAAAAATAACAAATACAGTTCCCGAGACCACAAAGCCAAAGCGTCATTTAAAAAAAATCTCAACTGAGCTGTCACGAAACCTTACTTCCGGGTATAGAAATGGCGCCGCTCATTTGCCCATACATATCACGTGAGGCGCACCAACGTGGTGTGTTGTGTACGTCGTCTGGTACGTCGTACCGCCGTTGTCTCTCGGTATCGTTGGACAAATGCACACATGCAAACGCATTATATAGTATATATATTTTCTATTATTATAATTTTTAATTATTGTTATTTCAAATCACCCTTCATTTGGCGTAGTGCAATCGAGTGTGATTTTATTTACCGTAAAAACTTTAAAAGTTGTTTTTGCGAAAGACATTTCCTAATGTCAAAAAACCGAACCTGAACCAAATAACCAAACAAATTGGTTCTCAAATATCCAAAGCTACATTGCAGCAATAAGGTAGCACAACAAATGTTTGTTAAATTCAATTCTGACAGAGAGAAAGAGAGATGGAGAGAAAGTTAAAGTAAGCAAGACTTCCATTTAATACATATGTAACAACTGACTCACCTCATCCAAATGGACGTCCAATTCTTCACATACCACTAGAGGGAGCCCAAGAACCACCAGTGTATTAGGTACCTGTATTGGAGAACTACAGTACTGTTTAAATTACCAATCGTTATTATTTAACTTTATATTTACATTTTGACAAAACGTAAAGACAATTAAAACATCTATATTATGATACGTCATCTTTATCATTTTCTTATATTGTCTTTACGGCTCAAATAATTGACGGTCACGTTGAATTTAACCCAGAACTACCCGTACATGTAGCTTTGTTTGACCCACATGCTAATGCTACTAAATTTGTGTAAGATCCTAAGCTGCAATGATGTAATCAGGGACTAATTGACCTTATTTTTATATACACACACAAATATATACACATATGTATATATAAAATCACATGTCAATACTTTTTAACAGCTGAACAGCAGTAAAGTAGATCAAAATTCATATCGTTTTTAATTGCTTAATTGCTTGGTTTTTTTTTATCTCTGACCAATATTGCGTACAATTATTTTATGACATTTTATCAATGACAGGCGACGTGTCACAATGGGATATCAGTAAACAGGAGACACTGCCACGTTGCACCATTTCCCCCCTGTCCAACATGTCTGGTCTCTTACTTTTGTTAACAGAGGGTTGTTTTGAATGTACTGTAGAAACCTGTTAATTCATTAGCACAGAATATGGTCAGAAGAAAATGTAAAAATAATGTTGAGATTTATTATTTCATCTTCACATATTAAGGCGAAACAAATGGCTGTTTCCGAAAGGCAGTACAGGTTACAAGGCACAATTTATCTTATCAGTGAAACCACAAAGTACTAAACAAATATATATATATATATTTTAAAAAACACCAACACATTATTGGGAAACTTTCTTAGTGTGTCATCATGGAATTTTCCAAAATGGCACCACAGAGTTCATACAAACTAAGATTTCCTCGTGTAAAGAAGCACTCTCCAACGTATAAAAGAAACCACACCTATTTAAGTTTTGTCTTAGAACATTTTTACAAGACCCCCAAAGAAGATGGACACATTCTAATGACATCGTTAAGCAAAAAAGAAAAAGAAAAATACTGTGCCACACCAACTCTGTGATGGTGTACATCCTGTTGTAACATTCCAAAAGTAGTGACATGATAAGGCGACCAAATCTAACACAGGCCTTCAGACTGCACACTCTGAATTGACGCTGAAGCAGGTGATGTTGTCCAGTATTACTACTATACAGTATATAACAATGTATGTTTTTCTAAGAGTCCGTCTTATATAGAAAAGTAAGACAGTTATCCTGGGAGGTTTTCTCTGAGTCGTAGACCCAGACTGTAGATTTGTGGACCACGAAAACTTTGAATGTTTTTTCTTTTGGCAATAAAACACCACTATAATTATATTTTTTTTTTTTAAGCTACATTATTTCAGTCAAGTTAACAGCTTCATTGCTGATTTTGTATAACCGTACATACAAAGATCAGGGTTTAAGAGAGTAAAAAAAAACAACTAAAAATAAGTATAGACAGGACTGTTACATAGCCTCCTGTTTTGTAATGGTGGGCAGAGCAATTGATGTTGGCTGCTTCGGTGCCGTGGCTATGACGCCCTGAGCCAGTTTGTAATGTTCTGAGCCAGAGGCAGTCGGTGGAGACGGGATGGGGGTTTCAGGAGTGGCTGAAAAGAAGAGCGTGAAGAAACAGGAGTGAGTAGGAAGTGCAGTAAAAAAAGGGCTGAATGTGTTTGCACTTCTGTCTGAATCAGCACTTTCTGGTGCACTAAACATGTTACGTGAATAACACTCTCTTTGACAGAATAATCCAGATTAGTGTGCATGAAGAATTTGAGGGATTATTCCAAGCCTGATTTTCCATTTTTTTCATACTGTACCTGAATGGACCGTATGAGGAACGATGTGAGTGAAATCTAATGTATTTGTGACACTTAGTTCGTGTTGTTTTTTTTTTGGTCTTAGATGACACTTTTTTTGTTTTTTTCCACAATTATGTACTTACAGATTTGACCATTATGGATGGGCGTTGGCATGTTGCTCGTCACTATGACATTGCTGCTGAGGTGCTCTTGAACCAGGTGAGGGTGGAGAGAGTGAGGTGCATGAGGAGCCTCGTTAGCAGAACCTACAGTCGGATCAAATATATTTGAATATGAATTATTTGGGAGTAACAGTAAATTCTCTAGGTCTCCGACTAAGAACAATTTTCAAAAATCCAATAATGACCAAGTAGGCTCTGTTGACCTGCAAACAGTGTAACTAACTGTAAATAATGGCTAGAGTTGTGAGTTTGATTTGACTGCTAACACACACTCCAAAGCCGCTCACCTCCAAGGAGCATCTCCTGCAGCAGGTTGTCGATCTTGGCCATGCCGAAGAGTTTCACAAACTGGATCTGTTCGATCATCTGCCACGTGATGCTCTGCAGCGTTGGCAGCAGCAGGAGCAGCTCGCCGAAGCGACCTCGCGAGTCGTACTGTCTGTCGTTGATGTAGTCCTCCAAGCTAACTTGGACCTGGTATCGCATCCGCTTGATTTTCCCCGGGTCGCTCAAACCTTTGGCATCTGATGTTCACAAACGAGAAGTCGGGGGATGAGTTCACTCAACCATCCATCCATCCATCCATCTTTCTATCTAATGCATGATATTAATAACATTCACTGGGTTTATGTTAATGCCTGTCCAGACATTTAAATTATGTGGAAACAAAAACATGACTAATAAATCATAAATCTTATGGACCAACAATCTGCTGTATCTACAGGTTTCCGAACCCATGTTGAAAACCTTGTTGGCTTAGAGCACGCATGGGCAAACTAAAGCTCGGGGGCCGGATGCGGCCCGTTCAGCTTTTTAATCCGGCCCACCAAACTTTTCCAAATGATATAATTTATTTATATTATCATGATACTTCTGCTTTTACTGTGCAAATGCCCACATTTCCCCAGTAGATGGCGTAGAATTATAAAAGCATGTTAGCATTTTAGCCTTTATGCATGACTTTTACATGTCATTTATCTTAATTCACACGAACACTCCATCTATCTGCTCCAGACCCGGCTCCCCGTTCAATTTTAGGACAATTGCGATCCACGAGTCAAAAAAAAGTTTGCCCACGCCTGACTTAGAGTGTTGGTACAGTTGGTGGCAGTACCTGGGTCAAAGAACACTATGGCTTTCAAACAGGCATATTCATTGTCATCTATCTGAAGCTCCTGGAAGGGCAGCACCAGCTCGTCCAGGATCCTGACTGACACTCTGCCCACCTCCAGCTCTGGACAGTTTCTGGGAATAATGTGATCATTTCCTGCGAGAACAAAACGACCAACATATATGAAGCCGACGACTGCTGCTCTGAGTGGGTGAATCCACATTGAGCAATGATGGTCAGAGTTCAGTAAACAAAACCCATGCATGTGTCGTGTTTACCTAATAAGAGGATGTCTTTGTACAGCATGGACCTCTTTGCGACACCGAGCAGCAGATGTTCTCCAGCGTGAGCTCGCAGCAGCGCCACCTGCAGCACAATGATTAAATTTAGGGTGTTTGGATTTTTTGTTTTTTTTCTAAACTGAGCTGTACATCAATGAAGGGAAGACCACGAGGAAACTGTGTCTCCGTCTCTGTCTCTGCAACATTAAATCAGCAAATCAGTTACTGAGGCCTGGTGATCACACTGTTAATGATTCTGCATTTGTTTATGGTTTTTTCTTTTCTTTTTTTTGGAGAAAGCACTAAACTTAAAGATAATTTAATTTGATTTTTATTTAATACAGTGGTTTTAAATGTTCAAGGAGAAGTTGGGGATGGAAGTTAAAACTCCAGTAGTTCATTTTTTATCTCTGTTCCCAGGAAGAACACACTGGCTCTCTTCCTGCGAGCTTCTGTGGCCCACGCTGTGGGGTTTGAGTTGAGCTGGTTGATGAGTGACCAGAGTGTCTATACTACTATGTACTCTGTGTTTGTGAAGGTCTTACCTGGTCATCCAGGGGCAGGTCAGAGAAGGCTGGGATGTATTTGGCCCACTCTACTAAGACCAACAGCTGCTGTTTCATGGACTCACACACGTCTGTGATGGCGGCGATCTTTTTGGTCCTGATGTCGCCGTTCAGTAGAGGAGCCGGGGACGTGATCTACACGAGACAAAGTAGACACGGACTTGACTGACGTGATCTTATAGCAAGTGAATATATAACAAAGGCTAAATTTGTGGACAATATTTTCTTCTTACAATGGATAATATTATTTTCTATTTTCCCAAAAAGTTATTACCTTATTTTACATGTGTGTTGTTACTGAAAACACATACACTTGATGATAGATACATGCTTATAAAAATGTAAAAAATTACCAAAATAACTTGATAAACAATCTGTGGATTTTACCTGCTGATACAGATTTTAGCCAATCAGGGAATTTTAGGAAAATTTGGACAACGAGCAACATGGAGCATTTCTTTCTAAACTAAAGTGTTCTTTAGGACTTTTTTTATGACCTAATTCTGTGCTTTTTCTACCTAATTATATAACATACTCAATACATTTGCACAAATAGGTTTTGTTTATTTATGCTTATGGTGGACAATATTTCCTTCTTACAATGGATAATATTATTTTCTATTTTCCCAAAAAGTTATTACCTTATTTTACATGCGTTATTACTGAAAACACATACACTTCATTATAGATACATGCTTATAAAAATGTACCAAAATACTTAAATAAAATCTGTGGGATCTACCTGCAGGTACAGGATTAAGCCAATTTCTAAACATTTTCGTTAGGATTTTTTATGACCTAATTCTGTGCTGACATTAGGTAAAATTGAAAAAAAGAAAAAGATTTTCTATTTAATGATATAACACACACTCGATACATGACAAATGAACAACCTCATCGTCTGGTCATCATTTTCTTGCCACATTAACATATTTATAATTTTGTACAAATAGGTTTTGTTTATTTATGCTTACATTCATAAATGTTTTCAACTTCTTTAATAAATGTGTTTTTCAGTTTGTTAATAAAGTACGTTCTTCTCATTTTTATTTTTGTTTAAATGTTTTGTCTTCCTCTAGGATCCACCAGACTGACACTTCACGACCCAACAACAGCGTTGACTGTTTGATGTTCAACGAATGAATGACTTTTACATTTCAAGGCCCTGGCATGTCAATTTTAAGGAGTATTTCCAGGACCTTTAGCCCAGACCCCTGTTAATCTCCTAGACTCGACCCAGCCCAGTCTTTAGTACCTGTCTTGACAGCATGTCTGCCTGGATGAGTGCATTGATGGATGGTAAACTGCTGTCTTCATAGCTGGACCTCCTGGTGCTGATTCTGTCTCTCTCATTCTGTACAGCTGGAGAAAAAACAAAATCACCGCAGTTGTTAGAGAGAAGAAAAATCACATCTGAGTCGTTTGATTGTTGGCCAAAAATTGGGCAGAGACCAGACTGAAAGAAACAAAGTCGGTGAAGGTTGTCGTTTTTATCAGTATATGGCTATTATTGCTCGGAAATGTTTGCTCAGCATAAGCTGGTCTGAGACCTGAGCGCTTGGTGGAGTGAACATTAACAAAGTGCTTCACCACTGGGTGTTGCAACACATTCACGCGAGTCGCATCAGTTCAGTCGTGGTGGGATCTGCTGCCGAGGAAAAAGGGAAAACTTTTCCCAGTCATTATGGATTGAACAGACATTAAAAATACCTCATACCTTCTTTCTTCATGCCAGCTCTGAAGCACTTCTTCAGTCTGCAGTACCTGCATTGGTTACGTTTGTCTTTGTCCACAATGCACTGTCTGTTGAACCTGGAAAATGAGTAGAATCCTTTTTAGTCTGACCAGACCAAGCCTTCTGATTGGTCTAAAACCAAATATATACATATAAATGTATTTATTTATTTTTAGTAATTTATATTTTATGGAAAATATAAATGAGCCTTTTGTTAGGAAGTAATGATTGAATAAGTAAAATGTTTTGCTTTGCAGGAAATGGTACTGTTTCCGTCCCTACCTGCACGAGTACATGTGGTTTTTGCGGACGCTGCGTCTGAAGAAGCCCTTGCAGCCGTCACAGCTGGAGGCGCCGTAGTGTTTGCCCGTGGCCCTGTCTCCACATATAGCACACAGGCTGCCCGCCGCCAGGTGACCGACGGCGTTCATGTTGGCACTCTCTGCTGGTGAGGAGTCTGACACAAAGACAGAGGACAGACAAGGGCCTTTAGGACGTACTGTATTTGAACTCCAGTGGGAATCAACACACACAAGAAGGAGAGGGGTTTGTGTGCGTGTGTGTGTGTGTGTGTGGGGGGGTTCTTATATATAAATATGAACCAATACAAAGCCATCCTGTGATGTGTTTGATCATTTTTCTGGTACAAGCTGCAAACTGGTTTCTCTGATTCTGAGCCGTTCTCACAGTAGTTTGATTCATAAGGTGTGAAGAGCTGCAGTGACGACCTGATCAAAACCAGCCTTTATGAGGAGCTGAGACAGAGTCAGAGACAGAGTGTAACTGAGGCAGAGTTGAACACTTCGGAAAAGACAATCAGCGGAGACAGATTCCTTTTCTCAGTCACTCTCCCAGTCGCCACACGGGGGTCAATCAATCAGCGTGTGTCATGACAGATGAAACAGATTAGAAGCCGCGCATGAAGCCTGATGACAGGACATCATTGATCAGCTGTGTTACAGAGCAGAAACATGTAAAGAGGTGATAAAGTTGAAGGATGAGTGACTTTGTTGCTTGGTTGGTTTTTTTTAATGTCCCATTCAGATTTTTTTTTTGGCTCTGACTGTGGATGAGGTCGTTTTTTTAACTTTTCTCTCCCCCAGAGCCAGACGTCATGGGAGAACGCACACATAAATATACTGGTGTCACTATAAGCACATTCAGAAAAGAAGTGAAACCCACTTTTTTTTTTTAACCAAACACTGTGGGAACCGACTGTTGGTAAGAGGAGAAGAGTGATCCTAACACTCAGCTGTCTAATCACTTTGACACCACATCCCTCAACACGCTGGAGCAGGTTTGAGTCGCTTTGACCAAATGACCTGAAGAACACTGAGAGCAGAGCCTCATTAGTCTAAACCACTTCATGTTCCACCATCACAGCCAGAGGTGTTTGAAGCCCTGACCGCAGCAGCAGCAGCAGCAGCAGCAGCAGCAGCAGCAGCAGCAGCAGCAGCAGCTGACTGAACCTTCATCCACTCTACGGTGACACCAGCGCCTCCTGTGTCCTCTCAGCACCGAATGTTTAAATCAGCAGCAGTTTCAAAGTTCACGCAGCTCCACAGCTGCAGGGATGTGACTCACCTGTGCCCAGTGGGAGCACTTGCATGTTTTCGAACTCCAGCGTGGTGTAGGCTGGGTCCAGAGCCTCGCTGTAGTCTGCCATGTCCATGTCTGCTAGTGCTTTGGACAGATTCGCAACTACCTGACAATGGGACAGAGAGACTTGTCCAAGAATCTAATGTGTCCCCCACCTCCTCCTCCTCCTCCACCTCCTCCTTTTTTTTTTCCCACACACCTCCACTAAGCCCCCACCGCCCCCATCTCTCTTTTTTTTTCCGGCCAAGCTCCGCCCAGTGTCAAGGTAACTCTGTGGCCCGGTTGAATGAAGGAGGGACACGCTGGTGTCAGAGAGGAGTCCTGTGAGTGACAGCTCGGCCTGCCTCCTTCTCCTGCTGGCCTCTCGTGCCACCGACCAGCCAGAGGAGAGGTGGAGTGTCTGTGTGGTTGATGTTTAACTGCAGCCACTTCACTGATGAATCACAGCCTTGTTTTTTTGCTCTCTCTTTTTTTTTTTTTTTTTTTTTTTTGCAGGAGAAAGGACAACTTTGATATCGTCCACCTCTTCTTGGTTGTCTGTCAATAATGGGTAAACAATTTCTCCATGAGACCATATCAGGTCACTGCTTTACCAAATCACTCCTCCACTACCTAAAACCAGTCATGGACTGTCCTGTCTGTGAACATGCGCCGGTCACATGTTCACGACACCATATAAAACAGCTAAAAGGCGCAGCTTGGACTGGTGTGTGTTTGTGTAAACACGTTAATTCCAAATAAACCTCTAAATAGAGCTAAACAAAAAAAGAGCTTTTACAACACTTAACGTAACATAACGTAATGTAACGTAGTGTAATGTAACGTACACGACGTACCGTAACACGTGGCGTTGTTTCATCATCTTTCGTTTCAGTAGTTTGATAACTTTGGGTGATATCATCACTGTCAAAGCATCACATTTTTCTGATTAATCTGATTAATCACAATGTAGCAGTCGATTAGTCATGATTGATCACACCAGTTTTTATTTGTGGTGGAATTATTAATATGAAAAAAATGTCAAACATTGTCTGAACATTTTTAATAACCTGATATCATTGACTGATATTAATGACTGTTAAAGTGAAGACTGTGTTATTTCACACAATTCAACACATTTAAACTTAAAGTTGTTTACTGTGGAAGAAAAAACAACAACAACAACAACAACAACAACAACAACACTGTGTTACAACACAACGCTGCGACTGTACAAACCTGCACCGTCAAATATTGACAAAGACACAGATCTACAGAGCTGCTTGGTCTGAGGTAAAGTACACTTCACAAAAATGAGAACAGCTCTTGACTGACTGTGTGATTCTACTGGTCCATCATGTACGTCCAGCATATATTTTAGAAATGACTGACGATGTTCTTGATGCAGGAGGTCACACCCTCAGGTCAGCTCTTTTTTTTAGTGATTATAAAGAGATGTTTCCGAAATGTAGCAAGGGTCAAAGGTCAGAGGATGTTTAATCTGTGTTTGTTCTAATTGCCACAAATGTAAGAGTCGTGTATAATAAATCCTGAGGAGCTAAGAATGATCAGACAGTGAGGTCATTTCTTTATTATTATTATTCTGTACCTGGGGCTAACCTAATAGACTATTTGGCACTTTTAAATGTGACTTCAAATGTGTCAGGTCTGATTTTTCACATGTCCACATTAAAGGTAGGGCACCTTAGGTTTAGTATCACAGTGCTAAATATTAGTCTTGTTCATTTTTTTATTTCCCAAAATTGAATAAGAATATTTAAAACAACCTCATTTTTTTTAGACCTTAGACAAAATAAAGACGCAGGTTGGGACCTGGTGGGAATTCTAATTCAAAGAAGGAATTCTCTGATGGACACACAGCATGAAGAAGTGTTTTGACTTTTGTTTCATCCTTAACTGTACAATGTTTGCAGTTAAGTTCCAAAGATTTGATCTGGACATCAGAATCATTGAAACCAAGCAGACATGTACAAATACGTACTCTGCTGTAATACTACATTAACACAGTGGAACTAGAGGACAGATTACACATTATCTGTGGATCTGATTTTTTATTTCCCTAAACCAAAAACTCCCTCTGTACCAATCTATCCTTTTTCCTCGGTGAAGCACAGCAAACAGTAGTCGTGTATTTGAAGAGAAAGTGCCAGTACATAAGGATAGGTCAACGATCCAGCGTTCAGCCCAACCTCAGAGGCCGTAAAGCCCATGCAGGTGAGCCTGTTAAACATACACTCCAATTATACAGGCCACTCGTAAAATTATTTTTCTTTCAGCAAGCAAACACCGTAACATTCCTGCAGGCTCCTGTGCAGCGTTCAGAGAGGAGCAGTTCAGCGATTGAAGCTCGACATAAACCCTGATCAAACAGCCGGAGACGGACGTGGAGGTGATCGAGCTGTGATTAAAACTCTCCTTGGCTTTGAGTGTCAGCCGTGAGCACAGACTCATCTCAGGTTCATTGATCTTTGGCAGTGAACGTCTTGATTAACTCACGGAAACCAATCAAAAATGATTAGCGGCCTTCCACACTGGAAGACTGGAGATTATGCCGCATCAAACGGAGCTCAGTTGGAGCGTGTTGTTTCGCTTGTGTGTACAGAGGTCACACATTACAACATTTCATGTTCGATCCGCGCTGCTCGTCTGCGATGACCATATTTGCTCAAGAAGTGTGCTGATTATTTCAAAGCAGCCAGCGAGTAATGGAGGGGAGGAGGAAGGGTGAGAATGAGAAAATAACTCTGTGTGTGAGATTGAGTCACCTGCAGCAAATCTTATCTGGCCCCTCATTAAAGATATTTTATTGCTCCCTCCATCTTGAATTTCTCTGAACTCCTTAAGGAACGGTCATATACGGGACAATAAAGTGTAATCTGTGCAGTTATGGGAACCTTAATCATGAACTGACAAACTGTTCTGATGGGCCAGATAGAGCCGGCCCGATGGAAACCCTCCTGTATCTTTTAGGTGGGTGTGTGTGCTAACGAGCTCTGTCACTACTTTCCCACAGTGCTGCACAGACGAGGCTTTAACACACACACCACACCACACCACACACACACACGCGTTCATGTAGAATTAAATCACTATTTTTTATTCACGTGGAAAGAAAAATGTGGCTAAACCAACATTTTTACATCAAAACAAACAGATATAAATATGAAAAATGACCCTTGACCCTAAACACATTTGGAAAATTTAAGGTTAGACACAAAAATGTTTTCTAGTCCATGTGTGTATGTGTGCTGGACATGGCTGTGGTTCTGTGACTGCCCTGATGTCCACTGACACATGCTAACACCTCGTGGTTTTTTTCCTTTGGTTTCTTCTTTGACCGACATTTACAAAAGCGACATCCTATTCCAGTAAATAAGACAATAAATACGACGGCAGCTCAGGCAGAAGTCAAAGGATTGGGCTTCCACTTGTAGGGTTGTAGGTTTGAATCCCAGCCCTGAGAGGTCTTTGGGCCAACTCATCATTTACATCTTTTACATCTATTTATCTCGTGTCTGATCCACTGTTCAACATCAACCCTGTCCCCTTTACATCTATTTATCTCGTGTTTGATCCACTGTTCAACATCAACCCTGTCCACGTCCTCCACCACTCCACCCATACATCTCCTCCTCCTTCCTGGCAGCTCCATCTCCTACGTCCTTATCTCCACTAACATCTCCAGTCTCCATCTAGGCTGGACAGTCCAGCTCAGTCTTTCGTCTCCTGGACAGAGACACTGTCTCTAAACCAGACATCACAGCAGGTCTCACTGCTGTCTTACAAGTTCTTCCCTTTCAACTTTGCCGCTATTTTTCTGTCACAAATCACCACTCGTCTCCGTCCATTCCTCTCTGTCTGAAGCCTTTTCTGCAGCGTCTATGACACTGGATGGTGAACCCTACGTTTGGCCTCATGACAGTCCTCAAAACATCGTAGTTTGACACCAAACTATAAATGGACTGAAATAATTAGATTTCCATTCACTTCAGACAGCTGAACACTGAAACTACTATTAATATATTTGATATTTGTAGTGATGAGAAAATCTCAGAGTATTGTGACAGTTCTGTGTCACATTAATAATAAAGTTTTACTGTGTAATCCACTGACAAATTAATTTGCAGCTGTGATCTGATCTGGTATTGAGAACACATTTATGGTAAAACAGTGAAGCGGTGAAGCTTCAGTTGATCTTTGTCAGGTGTAATATAATAACCCCCCCTCTCCTTTTGCCCCCCTCCCCCAGGCCTGAGTGATCAAACATTAACATCTCCTTGATAAAGTGTAGGATATAATGATATAGAACTCCATTCAACCATGTGATAACAGACAACACAATCAGCCGGCGCTAATGAGCGCAGCGCTAGGACGTACTGTAGTACCTCTCCCTCACAGCACTGATACACAGGTCAGGCTGCATTGACACAAACAGAGGGCTAGCGGCCAGCGGCACACTTGCTAACACTTAGCAAACCAAGCTATATTTTGACTCCACGCTACACTGGGACTGACACTTTGAAAGTGATGAGAATTAAAAAAAAAATTTAAAATAAATTTATGAAAGGTTATGTCTTTTTAAAAAAAAAAAAAAAAAAAGTTAATTTAACCCGGGTGACACACAAAAAAAAAGTTTCTATATGCATTGTATTTTCTTGTACAGAGCAGTTTGCTCCACTTTAAACAGACCAGAGTTCACTTCCTCATGGACGATCCAAAGACTTTCACTGACCAAAACAGACCAGAGTTCACTTCCTCAGAATGTCAACGTCGTCTGGGATGTTGGCTCATCTAAAACACAAATGGACGATCCAAAGACTTTCACTGACCTAGTTGACCTACCTAACAATTTTTATTGAATTACACTCTATGATTATTATAAATATTTTTTAATTAATAAATATATAACACTACTTTTGTATATCACTCCAAAGACACAGCTAGCACCTGTCAGTCACTTCAGTGTGGAAAGCTGCCATGCGGAAATGTGATGGGCCAGAGAGTGCTGTCTTATAATCAGTCACCCAAACTCCTGCCCTGGGGCTAAAAGTCAAAGGATCGCTGAGACCTGATGTAATACTTGTGTGATTCTCCCCTTTGAAACTTCAAACTCCAGTTTGTGAACAAAGTCCTGTCTAACTTCTGAATAGGAATCTCCGACCACTGACCAAACTCCATTTGCAACCACTGCCTATTTGTACCTTCTCCTCAATGACTACATTTCATTCTCCCAAGCCTGATCTTAAAGGCACACAGCAGGGCAGCAACCTGATAGAAATGAAAGCCAAGAAGCCAGAAGCTGGGAGAAAAGACCAACCAGGTGGCCCGGAAGAGTGAATAATGGTTTTTGGAATATACAACTACACGTCGGTGGAGCTATTTTGTTTTGCGTCTTAAAGAGACGGCCACGCGGCGGAGGATACGTGACTGTTGGAGAGACACATCCAGGAGTGTGTTGATGTTGATAAGAATAAAAGACAGGAGACAATCTGCTGGCTGCAGCAGGAAAAAAAATCTGCTTCTGTTCTCCTCTCCTGCAGTAGATGGAGGAGATAGGTGAGTAGAGTGTCATGGCAAAGACCTTGTCAACAGATAACTATCTGCAAATAACGCAGCTTATGCAAGCCCCCGTGGCTGAGCCACGTAATATCATTGTCCGTGCCACAGAAATGATTTATTCTGCCTTTGCCTGTTGTCATCTATGTTTGAACTGGAAAGATCGTTATAAAATCACTTCTTTGCGTATGTAGAAATGTAATGTTTTTTTATTACAGTATAAACTTATTCT